TTGGAGAACTCCTTTTTATAGTTTAAACGTTTTTCCCCCTAGTATTCGTCTCCCTCTCGGTGTGTCTGTCCGTTCAGCTGGGCTCGCTGACGACCTGGATGGTGGTGCTGTGCGCCGGAGCGACCAGCCTCTTCTACACCGCCCACTGGCAGACGTACGTCTCGGGGACGCTCAAGTTTGGCAAGTTCGACGTGACCGAGGCTCAGTTCACCATCATCACCATTCACCTCGTCAGCGCCGTCTTTGGCACCTCCTTCTGGAACACTATCGTATGTTGATGTGCACTCTGGTTCTACTTAATTATTTAAAACTTACACACACTCTCTCNGAAGTGCACGATTTTTTGCTATACTTTAGAGTTTAACCTAGGCATTCAGTGAGCATTAGCAGCGGTAGCAGCTTAGTAGCAAATTGACGGTACTTTAGCTACATTAGCCATCATCATCATCATCATCGTCCTTTAGAGCTTTGCGTATCGCCGTTTCCCTTTTCCTTTCAGTTAATTTGCCCTAAACTAACTTGCATTCTCTCTTCCTTCTTTTCTGTTTTCTCTTCTCTCGTCTCTTTCTCTCGTTTGTCTAACCTTTGGTTTCTGTAAATCACCCCATTACCATCATCATCACTTCCTCCTTCTAACAAACCACTTACCCCAATAATTACCTCCTCCTTCTCCTCCTCCAAACTCCCAGGACTTTCTAATGCCACGGCTCTATTATTGTCTTGTCCCCCTCCTTTTCGGGTTCCTCTATCAACTCCACAAATATCTGTCCGACATACTCAAAGGTGGCATAGGGAAGAATGGCTCCACTGTCGCTGTAAGTGTTTTTTAATTGCCTTGCCCTTTACCCTCCCTTCTCTCTTCTCCAAACTGTCTCTGATCTGTCTTCTGTCTGATCCTATTTGGCTGTGTGTGTGTTGGTGGTAACTTCCGGTGTATCTGCCAATGTGTGTGTGTTGTGTTGAACTCTTCCAAAACACTCCCTTTAACAATTAAGCCCCTCTTTTTGTATTTGTACAGTATTTTTGCGGACGATGATGACGTTGAGTGATGTGAGTGTCTAATTTTTTAGCTGCTGCAAAGCTTTCGAATGGCTAACGAATGATGTTTAGGCTCAAAATTTTGTTGTTGTGTAAAAAATATTTACCTTTTCCCCTCATTTTTGCCTTCTTCATCTTTCCCCCATTATCACCAACCAAATCAAGGTCTTTGGAGTGCAGCTCAAAGTAATCCCAATGGCGTTTACGGTGCTGAATGAGTGCTTCATCTTCTCCTGTGACCTCAAGTCCATTCTCGGCGGCGGTTGCGGAAAGAACGGCTCGACGGTCGCTGTAAGTAGAGCTCGGTGTCTTTTGTCTGCTTTTTCGGGCGGTGGTGGTTTCCACTTTCTTGATTTGATTTGATTGGAGTGATTACCTTCTCCGTTTACCGCATTACCCCACAGCCAAGTGGGATCAGACAATGATCAGAATGAGAGACATTGCGGAGAGGAAAAGGAGAACCTTGATCTAATGTTTCAGTAATTCAATATTCTCTCTCTCTCTCTCTCTTTCCTTTGTGTGTGTGTATTCTCTCCCCAGGGCACCTCAATTCTCTCGCCAATCATTCCGATTCTCCTGGTGTTCTCCTTTACGCTGATCATCTACACCAAATCGACGACCAATGTCTTTGTCGACCACGTGGCGCTGTACATTATCACCTTTGGCTTTGTGGCCGCCAAGATTACCAACAAGTTGGTGGTAAGTGTGGTGGTGATTCCTTTGATTAAGATTGTGTGAATTTTATAGTGAATGTTTTATTGCTTAACTATATTTTCAGGTGGCCCACATGAGCAAGAGTGAGATGTCGAAGATTGACACCATCTTCATTGGTCCGCTCATGTTGTTCTTCAACCAGTACTTTAACTTTTATTTTGACGAGTACCTCATGTTGTGGCTGGCATTTGTAAGTGTTGTTGTGCTTTTGTTTCGCTTTTAGGCTTTTGATTTTGATCAATGGTTTTTCTCTCACTACCACTCCAGACCTACATTCTCATTGACTTCATCTACTTCAGCTACTCGACCTGTCGTCAGCTGGCGGACTTTCTGAACATTTACATTCTGAAGATCAACGAGCCATCAGACGGCAGTAGTAGTGGTGGTGCTGGTGGTGGTGGTGGCATTGGTGGCGGTGGTCCTTCGGTGAGCACCAGGGCCGCCAGCAACGCCGGCGGCGGCAGCCAAAACGGTAGGGTCACGGGCAGCTCAACACGACACCGAACTGGCAATGTACGCCGCTGACACCAATGACAACTTTCCCTCCTCCTCCTTTATCTCCTTTGTTCTCTTCTTCTTCTTATTACCTTCTTTCTTCAATTTCTAATTCTTATTATTATGAACTTCTTCACCTTCTCCTCCTTTTCCTCTAATGATAACCTCCTTCCTATTTATTTATCACACATTAATTTCGATCACACACCCAACACACAGACACATTCACTCACCTCTACACACACTCCTTATACAAACAAACACCACCACCAAAACTACACAGCAAAACAACTTAATTGTGCTTAAACGACAACCATTTAGTAGTTCAACCAGTCATTTGCCGAAAACTCATATTAAAGAATTGTCTACCTGCTTTGAGGGAGGGTACTACTCCATTTCCTCTGGTCCTCTGAAACTCTGTCAGTGTTGCGTCAAACTGTTGCTGTTTGTCAGTTGTTGTTTGTCCTAACTCTCATGGTGGTCATATGCTTAACTGTGTCACTGTGTACAAAGTGGTTGTCACTGTTTCCTGTGCGCAGATAAGATCAGAATATTCTCTCTCTCTCGTCAATGCATGCACACATCACACTCAAGGCCTGTAAACTATCATCTCCTCTTCTTTTGTCTTGCCCAGTCTGTCTGGCCTTCTAAATGGCTTCTCTTTCTCCTCTTGTCATGTTTTCTCCTCTTCTGACGTGAGTCTCTCTCTCTCTCTCTCTCTCTCTCTCTACTTTTTCTCTGTAACCTTGAAATCCACTAACCAATCAACCACATCAACCTTTCTTCTTTGCAGTGTCAGCGGCAGTGTTTGTGCGTGCGTGCGTGTGCGTCTGCTCTTGTCGGGTTTCCTCTGCCTTTGTTTGTTTGTTGTTTTCCGGGGTTCGGTTTCCAATTTCCCTCCCTCTTTTCCTCCCTATCTCACTACTAAAACTCTTTCTCTTCGTCCACCACCTCCTCCTCCTCTTCCTTTTTTCCTGAACACCTTGAAGAGGAGACGCACATTACCGAGGACGAAGACTCGGAGCGGCTGCGTGAGACGGAGTCACTGCTCGGTTATCCTTCGCCTGGATCGCCAGTTCCACACCAGCAGCAACAGCAGCAGTTTGCAGTGAGCAGTGACGGACTGACCGAGGCGACCATGGTCGACATGGGAGACGAATATGAAGAGGAAGATGAGGAGGGCCTCACCGGGAAGGAGAGGATGCTGAGGATGATGATGAACAACAATGGTGGAAAGATGATGACGGCCATTACCACCACCCCCATCATCACCACTGCCGCCACCACCATCACCACAACTGCCACCAACCATGGCTATGAAGACATTTGAAGATTGAACTTTTTTAGACGGGTTTTCCAGACATCACTCACTTGAATCCAGTTGAATTACACTGACCTTACTGACCTCATTTTTCAGTTGCATTTTACTTTTCGAATTACTCTTTGAGTTTCCATTTCTTTTTTTCAGTAATCTCATTGTTTGGTTTATTTTTCTTTATTTAATTTCATTAATTTGACTTTTTTTGCTGTACAGTTCTTCTTTCTTTGTTTTTACAAATTTTCCTTACTTCTATTTAATTAAAGTTATTGTCATCATTCATTAAAACAATTTTTTATTTTTTAAAACGTAAAGATTAAATTAATTTTAACTTGATTTGTTTAAAACTTTTTTTGTTTTAACTGCATTTCAATTCTTTCAGTGAACTTTCAGGTAAATGCACCTGAAGACGTACATTACGCAGGGAAGCCCACTTTCACAGGGAAACCAGTCCCCTTTAACTGTCACGTGCGACGAACCTGACCTATGACTGTACTACAGCCAAAGGTACGTGTTTTGTCTGCGCAAATCAGCTGGTGTTTTTTCCAAAATATTTACAGTGTGCATCATTCTGTGCCAAGTCAACAATTTAAAAAGTGTTTTTTATTCTTAGTTTATCATGCCGGGCCCATCTCACAACCACAAGTCGGCCATCAAGGCGATTGCCTGTACGGTCTGCGAGAAGCTCAATGATGCCAAACTTAAGAGGT